GGGTCGTCACTGGGGCGGAACACGCTGCAGACCATGCCTGGGGGCGAGGTCGTCGTTTTTGGGGGAGTGGTAGGGGGTGCGGTGGTGGAAGGGGTTGGTTGGGGGGTTATCATTGGGGCGGAACGCGCTCCAAACCATGCCTTTGGGAATGCGGGTTGTTTTGAGACAAGGTGCGGTGGTGGAAGGGGTTGGTTCGTTCAGGGGGGCGGAGGGAGCTGAGATGGCGCAACAAAGCGCAGGGGCCGCGGCCGTTAGCAGCGTCTGGCGCAGGTTTGGGGGGCGCGTGGGGGCGATGGGACGAGCCAGGGCTGTCGCTGCAGCATGCCAGATGAGGTGAATTGGGCTGTGCCGCAAAATCTTGGGTTGATATGGGGTTCTCCCGCCTCATCCCGGCTGAGAATAGTGAGGGGGTGTATGAGGGCCTGGCTGATGTCGACCCAAGGCGCCGTTTGGGGGAGGGGGGCGCACCAGTGTAGTTGTTGGCCGGCCCTATGCCGTTGTTGGCCAGCTCTGAGTAGCGGTAGGGGCTGAGTTCATTGTGGCGCTGCTCGATCACCATCACCTGGTTGTGCGCGTCCACATATGTGTGTGTGTGTGTGTGTGTGTGTGTGTGAGTGTGTATGTGTGAGTGTGTGTTGCAAGAGTGTGTGTGTGTGTGTGTGTGTGTGTGTGTGTGTGTGTTGCGTGTGTTGCGCACGCGTGTGCACACACGCACGCGTGCATGCAAACATTGGCCCATGTGCATTTGTACACGTGGACGTGTGTGTTGTGCGCGCCTGATTTCCGCTCAAAACACACTCCAATCGCTTCGGACGTCCCCAAAGCCCTGGACCCACCTTGAGGCACACCACCACGGCGTCGTGGATGACGGCCTCGTTCAGCAGCTGCTCGGGGCCCCAGATCTCGGGGGTGGCGTACCAGTTCCACAGAAAGTTGAAATAGTAGCCTGCGGGGTGATTCGGAAAGGGTCGACAGTGTGGGATAACATTTGCATACTGTTGGAACACTTTTGGAATGGAGGAATGATGGGCGTGAGATGCGGGGCGGTCGCATGAATCGCGGTGCTCTGTGTCAGCACGGCAGGCCCGGGGTATACGTGATGCCCGGCGCCGTCTGCCTGCCCATCGCTTGCCCTGCTGTGCCGGAACCGTCACGCCTGCCCCGCCCTGACCTGATGGGCCCACCCCAGCGTCCCTGCGACACACAATCCCTTTCTGATCCTCCTGCGCCCTGCCTTGCCCAACCTTCCTCAAGACTGGGCCCTCAAGACACCCGTCGTATTCCTGAAACCGTATCGACCCTCCAAAACTCGGCGCAACACATGAAAACAAGGTTTGAAAATGAGACTGTGACGCATTCAGCACCTGAACCCCACCTATGGAGTCGAGCTCGAAGTTGCGCGTCCACACCCAGCCGCCGCGGCCTGGAGTGGGGCGAGCGCGGGCAGACGGGCAGGCGCGGGGTAGAGGTCATGGTGACTGCCATTCATGCAGCACAACAAGAAGACTGTGCTCATAAGCACACATGGAAAGCCTTCAACCTGCACACGCACGTGCACACACGAACACATACACATAAGATGCGAAAACATGCGAATGCAACGCACACACGGCCAGCTCCACCCATGAGCGTACAACCATACACGTGCGCACACACATGCACGCACGTGCACACACACGTGCACGCACGCACACACAAACACACACACACACACACACACACACACGCGCGCGCGCGCACACACACACATACACATTCACAATCAAAAACCCACCCAGCTGCCTGTCCAGCTTGGATCCTGTGGATGGCAGCTTGTATGCCGGGTTGTAGGCGTTGGCCCAGGGGTCCTGCAGCAGAAAGAAAGCCTGCGCGCGGATGGACCCCTCCACAACACGCCTGCGCGCGGTTTGAGCAGTTTGTGTGTGTGTGTGTGTGTGTGTGTGTGTGTGAGACAGAGTAAAAGAGTGGGTGTGTGTGTGTGTGTCGGCGCTTGTTTGTCAGTGCATGCTGGTAAGTGCACAATTGTGGAGCCTTTGACAATCACTGCACCAGTCCTTCTGTCGCATGTGAGTGTGTCTTCGTGTCCAAGTGAGTGGGAGTATATGCACGCACACGTGGCGAAGCACACGGGCGGGGACACCTCCTGCTGATCTGCCTGTGAGACGTGCTGTAACACGGGATGCTGATCCATCCCACTGCCCTGTGCTTCTGCACTCCTCAGCCCGCTGCGTGCCCCCCCCCCCCAAAAACAGCGCCAGCAGCCTCAGAGCACCTGAGCCGGCGCGGCCTAACCGGTCGGCGCTGCTTAAGCTCGGCGGCTCGCATTCGACCACGCACAACTGCCAGCGCGGCGGCAGGGAGTGCCCGTCGCAACACCATGCGCGGCGCGCGCGTCTAGGGTGCGTGCTATGAGTAGATGAGTGAATGAGCAGAATCGCCGCCCACGCACCTCAGGGCTGGCCGCTTTCTAATGCGCGGGAGGTAGGTCGCCATTTGTACCGCCGAGTCCCGCGTCCACATGGCAGGTATATCACCCGTCAGCACCACCGTCATCGCGCCCATGCCGTGCACGCGCGCGTAGCTGGTGAGCGTGCGGTACAGGCATCGGGCGCAGAGGTCGCGCAGCTGCTGCTTAGTCGCCGCCGGGACTGCCTTTTGGAGGGCCTCCGCCGCGGCCGCGCCGCCGGCGGCGGCGAGCGGGCCGGCGGACGGGCCGCGGGCCCAGACCTCCAGGGGTAGCAGGTGCTGGGGGCGCCGCCGCGAGGGACACGAGGGCGCGGCCGCGGCTGCAGCGGGCTTCGGGCGCGCCTCGGCCGCCGCCTTGGCTGCAACTGCCGCCTCGGCCGCCGCAGCCCCGGCGGGGCCGCCGGCGGCCACCGCAGCAGCGGGGGTCACAGCCGCCGCTCCTGCTGCTGCTGCTGCTGCTGCTGCCCCCTCCGCGGGCGGCCCGCCGCCGCCGCTGGGGATTCGGTGGACCATCATTGAGCACACCCAGATCGCCGCGATCAGGATAACCCCCAATTGCAGGGCCTCCACCGGCGTCGGCCCGCGCCGCAGGCCGCGCCGCAGCTGCGTGTGCAGGACCGGCAGCTTAGCCGGGGACCAGCCATTGGCGCCGCCGACAGGCATGCCGGCCCTCCGGCTGCCGCCGCCGCAGGCGCTGCCGCCGATGCAGGCGCTGCTGCGGAGCAACACGCAACAAGGGGGCCGCGGGTGGGGCCGGGCGGGCGGGGGTCCGAGGGTGCGGGTGTGCGAGAGATCGTGTGTGCGACCATGATCGACCCAGCTAATTTCGTTCTAACGGACATGTGTTGTGCAAGCATCACTGGTTGCCGCAGTGAGCCCTCACCCGCCCACCAGAAAGCAACCTCGGGCGCTCAGCCCAGAGCCGAAGTGCCCGCCGCCCCGTTGCTGCCCAAACGTGATTTGATGGTCAGACTTATGTGCCCTGTTGGCATGCACGGATCCAATTACAAGCCAGCCCCTGCTGGCGGCGAAACTGCAGGCCTGGTGCGGTTGCGCTGGACACAGTGCGCCGCCCAGCGGCTTGCGGCAGCGCCGACCGCAGGCCGCAGCTCGCTGTTCACAGGAAATCACTGATTCCTGTGCTGCAGGTGACAAGCCATGTGATGATCGGCCCTGTGGAGGGACACCGCGATGCAACAGGATCCAACAGGCTCAATACGCGTCCGCAACCCGGCTCGGCTGTCTTACTGGCTCTGATTATTCTATAAAGATCAGTCACTGGCTCCACGTTGGGTGTCACTGGTATGATAGTGATCTGATGAATTGCTTTGTCAACTGCACTTCCCAGGTCTGGTGCGCGGCAGGTGTCACGCATACCTGATCAACTGGTAGCCTGAGCGTTTGCAGGACTTTTAGCTCAACTGCATAATCAACGCTGCCGCCGACATCGAGCAGCTCAGCGGTCAAACACGCATCGATTTCATAGGACAGCACTACGTGAAGAGTCTCCCACTTCGACATGAGTGCGGCGTCAACGCCCGCCGCCCACATACCCATCCCACACAGCGCTCGCACCTGACGGTCAGTGCATCGTGCCGCTGTGGGATTGGCGGCGGTGCATGGCAGCCCGATGTGCCGTACGAGCATGGGGACGCACCCTCCGCCCCTCGATCCGAGGCGGCGTCTTTGTAGGCCCCTTCACCGCAAGCCGCAACCACGAACCCTCCATGCCATGCCGTCCCCCCTGCCATGCCGCGGCTCTTCTAGATCATGTGCTAGCGGCCACCACTCAACACAGATCAGCAGCCCCTATGCCTTGCGGCTTGCAGCCGGAGGTTGGGAGGACGAGCCCCCCATGGCGCCCCCATGCGCGTCACCCGTGAAGAAACCCCCGCTCGACATTTGCGTCTCCGTATGCTTGCTGGGGCAGGTACATGAGCGCTTCTATTCGCAAGGCGATGCTTCAGCACTTGGCCAGCTCACCTACAGTATTGAACGGCGAGACACCGCTTGATTAAGGTACAAAAATGTCATTTCATCAGCAAGAAGACTGCCAATGTGCCCAAGCTCGCATGACATAACCCTTTGGGCATCATGAACCACGATGTGGGACAGGAAATGCCTTGACGACAGGCGCGCTGGCTGCAGCTGCCCCACTGCCCTGATCCATGAAGCCCGTCAAATCACATAATGGGGATGTTGAGTTACACTCAGGCCAGGACAGCGCTGTCACTCTTCTTGCAATGCTTCAGGGTCCGCGCGCTCCTTCCGCCGTTTTCTCCGCCGCCGGCCCCGCGGCTCCGCCCCCGCCCCAGCCCCGGCCGTGTCGCCCGTTGCCTCAGCCGATAGCGCGCCCGGCGCAGCGGCGGCGCGCAGCCCTGCCGCCATCGCCGCCGCCGCCGCCGCAGCAGCAGCAGCTCTTTCCCGCGGCGGCCGCCGCGGCGCCACTCTTTCCACCTCAGCCAGAGCCGCCGCCACCGCCTCCGCCGCGGCCCCCGCCGCCTCCCCGCCGCCCTCTTCGCCGCCCCCCCGCCCGTCGTGCCCCAGCGGCCGCCGCCGCACGAGCAGCAGCGCGTCGCACGCGCGCTGCAGCGCCGCGGCGGCCTCCAGGTTGCCGGCCTGGTATTCGCGCCGCGCCCAGGCCTCGTACAGGGGCGGGTGCTGGTGGCTAGGCGGCACGGCCGCGCCGGCGCGGAAGAGCGCGCGCGCGTGCGAAGTGTCGCCAGAGTCCCATTGGACGAGAGCGTACTCCATCCAGAGGGGACCGTTCCTGGTCACGGAGAGTGTTACGGGTTTGCGGGGTTGTGCAATTTGGGTGGGGTGCAGGTTGCGGGGTCTCGAGTGTGTGTG